GGGGGTCCGTGTGGCCGCGGGGGGGCAGCACCGCACCAGCGGCGCGGCCCCGTGACCGGGGGCGGCCCCGGCCCCGGCCCCGGGGGCGGCAGGCGCCCACTCGGGGCGGGGGTGCTGCCGGGATGCTGGGGAGCCTCAGACCCTGACACCTTCCTCTCTCGCTCCTTCCAGCTATTCCCATGCCCTGGACGGCATGTACCGTGTCCTCCGGGAAGGTGAGGCCATGCCAGCCGGGGTAGGGTGAGCCCGCCTAGGGTGTCCTCACCGACACTGGGAAACCGGTGACACTGGGAAACCGTGGCAGGAGTGGCCCAGGGAGCTCCGTCTGAGAGCTGCTGTGGGTGCTCACCCAGCCGGGGCAGGGAGAGGGGAGGGAGGATGGCCATGGGGCCAGGGGAGCCGAGGGTCAGGCAGGGCCTGGCACCTCCGCAACATCTGGCTGGGGCACAGGCCAGGCGGTGCCTGGCAGCCTGCCCGTACTCCAGTGGAAAAGAGAGACCTGCAGGGAGCTGCTATGAAAAAGCGCAAGAGGGTGGAGCAGGTGGGAAGGGGAATGAACAGCAGCAGGGAGGAGATAGGGCTGTTCTGAAGGATCCTCTTTTCCTGCAGCGTATTTGCTGTTGTGTGTTTTAAGCACTGTTGTATGAGGAGTCTGGGACACAGACCGGGCAGAGAAGGAGGCTCCCCGGGGGAAGGGAGTGTGAGTAATGTCCCAGGACTGTGCTGATCCCAATCTGTCTGTCCACAGAGGGCTTGAAGAAACTCTTCTCGGGAGCTACGATGGCATCCAGCCGAGGGGCCCTAGTCACCGTTGGGCAGGTAGGACAGCTCTGCTGGGCAGTAGGTGCCTGGGGCAGGGACAGGGGTAGTCCCTGGCATGGCGAGGAGGGGGGACGTGTCACTAATACACTGTGTCTTCGCAGCTCTCTTGTTATGACCAGGCCAAGCAGCTGGTTCTCACAACTGGGTTGCTGTCAGACAACATCTTCACTCACTTCCTGGCCAGCTTCATCGCAGTGAGCAGGGCTGGGTGCGGGGAGGCAGGACTGGGACTGGGTTTGCCTGCAGCCGGGCTCAGGACCCCAGGCTGGGGCTGTCAGAGCTGCCTCTCAGGACTCTGATGAAGCGGGGCCAGGCACAGAGGCTCCTGTGGGGCTCCCAGCATGAGGTTGGGTGCAGGCAGGGCTCTGGGTCTCTCCAGTGACCATGGCAGTCGCTGGCATCTGGGTCTCCGTGAGCTGGAGCTGCTGACCCCTGCTGACTCTCCCCAGGGCGGATGCGCCACGTTCCTGTGCCAGCCCCTGGACGTGCTCAAGACCCGCCTCATGAACTCCCAGGGCGAGTACCGGGTGAGTAGCTGCTGCCGGTCCTGTCGCCTTTGCGTGCTGGCCTCTGCCTCCCGGCGCCTCCTCATCTCTCTCCATCTCACTTCAGGGTGTTGCGCACTGTGCTGTGGAAACTGCCAAGCTTGGCCCCCTCGCCTTCTACAAGGTACCTAGCTGGGGATGCGTGGGATGGGCTGGTAGGGTGGAGCGTGGGGGGACTGGGCCGGGCTGGGAGCAGAGGTTAAGGTCCAGAACAGTTCTGGGGCAGGAGCCTTCCAGGCTCTGCTGCCGGCAGCCTGACTGCTTCCTGCGTCAGGCCTTCATCTGCCGGTCCCCGGCTTGGCTCTGGAATATTGCGAGCCTTGGCCTCCTCTGGGCTTGCAGCCTGGGTCCGGGCACAGCAGGAGCTGCCCTGTTGCACCCATTGGGTTCCCAAATGGGAATGCAGGTATGGGCAGTGGTGCTCCAGCACTTGTTGGATGTTACTGACCAGCCGACACTGGTCAGCTCTTGGGCCCTACGTGCCCAGGCTTGGTGCAGTCACCCGTATGTTCAGTCTCGCTCCTGGGAGGGCCCCTGAAAAGGGGTTTCAAACCCGAGGTTTCTTCCAGATGCTGCCAGTCAGGCATTTTCCCTGTTACAGCCTGTCTGCTCATCTTCCCCAGGCAGCGTCCAACCCCCTTCTGAACTGGGGGCTGTGGGATCTGACCCGGGCTTCTACTGAGATTCTGCCTACGTAGTGGTGATGCCGGCACTAATGGGTTTGGGGGCGGAGGGGTTGATGCATGACGCTGACATCTGTGTGCACAGCGATGGCTGTGGTGCCTCCCTCACCGCTGTGGCAGTCTCTGCCTGCCACCAAGGCCCCAGCTCCTCCGAGCTCATGCTGCATGCCCAGCCAGCCGCTCCCCCGTGCTTGCAAGCTCGTGCCACTCCCCATGGGTTGGGCTGCTGGGCACCCTTAGCCCTGACAAGGAAGCCCAGGGCCAGGCGCACGTTGACTTTCCCCGTTGTCACTGTCCCCTTCCAGGGCTTCGTTCCTGCTGCCATCCGGCTCATTCCTCACACCGTCCTCACCTTCGTCTTCCTGGAACAGCTGCGCAAATATTTTGGGATTAAAGTGATCACTTGAGTAGGAAGGACCGGGACCCTGCCTTGCCCCGGGGGGGTGAGCGTGAGGGTCACCGCTGAGATCCCAGAACCCCTCTCTGCTGTCTGGGGCCAGTGCTGCTCCCCCTATCCCTCGTCCCCACTCCCGTGCCTTGCCAGTACCTGTGGCCAGCCAGTCCCAGACTCCCCTTTCCTCTCTCACCCCTGTTCTCAGCACCTCCGTTACCTCTGGGATATCCTTGGGCCTCTCGTCCCCTCTGCACTGTTGGCTTGGGGGTTTTTTTTGCCGTCTTCCCACTGTCCTACTGGCCACGAGTTCTGCCCTTACCTCCCTCAGCCCTGTCTCTTACAGGCCTCCGGGAGCAGGACTGCGCTGTCCTGGGGAGGACAGGGGGGATCTGGTCACAGAGCCTACGGAGCTGGGGGCTGATGGGGCCAGTGCCCACGCTGCGGCAGGGCCTGTGCTGGGGGCAGCGGGGCGCGGGGCTGGCATGTTCCCAGCCTGTCCTGCCAGCAGCAAGGGGAGACGCAGGTTTAGCAAAACAAGGCCCTGTTCTCTCTTAGTGCCTCTGGCCCCACGTGCTCCTCCGCTGACCCCAGGGTAGCCTGGCATCCCCGCTCTGCTCCCCGGCCCCCCCGAAACACCCCCTGCTTCTGCTTGGCCAAAACTCACCAGCGCCCGACGGCTGCTGGGCTCTTCAGGGATTGTGCCTCATACCAATGATGACAGAGAACGGACCCCGTGGGTGAGGGGCAGCCGCTCGGCTGCCCAGCCCTGCTGGCCAGGCACGGGCTGGAGCCCTTCTCGCCTGGCCTGCCCTCGCCAGGGGCAAGGCCGGCAGCTGCACCGCTGTCCCCCGGCTCTGGCTGGGGCCGGGCAGTGCGTGCTCAAGGACCCGGCGTTCGCTCGCCTGCAGTGCGCTCACCCTCCACCAGACCTGGTCTCGGGTGGGGGCATCCATCCAGCACCGCTCTGTGGCCTCGCCTGCCCCCTCCTTGCACCGAGGCCAGGGCAGACCCCAGCCCCGAGTGCACCGAGGCTGCCTCACGGCCCTCCCTCACCCTGCAGCGTCCTGCACGCGGGGGCTGCAGGCACCAGCCCCTCTGCCGTGTGCACCCCTGTGCGTGGTGGCCCCGAGGGATCAAAGAACTGGAATATCTGTGACCTTAATATATAATAAACAGTGGAACACACACAGGGCCTGGTGTCCTGCTTGGGAGGGGGGGGGGGGGGGGGGGGGGTGATGCTGTGCCCCTGTGGGAGGGCTTGGGCTTTGGGCTTGTGGGCTTGGAGCTGAGCTCCCCAGGAGTGGTGGGACGAGTGCAAGGCTCGTCCCCCTCAGCACTGCGCCGAGCAGGGGGCTCTTCACCCCGTTCTGTGCCCCCAGCCTGGCCCTGAGGGCGCGTGTACCCAGCACCTCCCAGCCCCATGCAGTGGGGAGCTGCGGGCCGGGCTCCCCTGGGCCAGCCCTGCTCCGGGCTGTGCCCGGTCTCAGCTGAGCGGGCAGCTCCTGGGCAGAGCCGTGCCAAGGGCGCCTGCCCACCTCTGCCTCGTCGTGGGAGCTGCCTCCTGGATGTGACACTAATTGGGCTCCAGCAGGCAGAACAGAGCCAGCCTGGAACAGCAGAGAAGTGAAAGCTCGTCACCTTAACGAAGTCTAATGATGCTGGCTGGCATCGCCGCTTTGTTCCTGTGCCTGGCCCTGTGTGAGAGCCGTGGGCAGGTGAGTGTGGGCCGAGCTGAGCCCTCTTTCCTCGTGAGGGGCTGGGGGCTGCCTGGCCCTGGCTGGGCTGCGGTGGCTCATGTCCCCGGCCACCCCGGCACCGCTTCCAGGACTGACGGGTGCTGCTCTGCGCCCACACGAAAGGCCAACGTGGAGCAGGAGAGCAATGGGAGCTGCAGGGCCCTGCCCCGGCCAGCCATCACCCTCCGGTGGCATGGAGCTCTGCCCGGCCCTGTGCCAGCCGGCGGCAGGGATGTTCCAACCGGGCCGTAGTCCTGCCGGCTGCACCAGCCCTGCGCTCCTGGCACTCACATACCCTCTTCCTATGTCCCTTACGGCAGCTGAGCTGCGCCGCAACCACGCCGGCAGGACAGTGTGTGCCAGACACAGCCTGGAGCACGGAGCGTCCAGCAGCTGCACAGTGCGGGAGCACTTCTTATCTCCGAGCATCGGAAAACTAGAGGCCTCGGGACTGTCAACAGCCTGTTGCCAGCAGTGTTTGCGCTCGTGGCAGCTGACTGGCCCCTCCTGGTCTCATCCTGCCCTCTGCCCAGGCCTCCGCCTGCCCCCAGGCAGCGTGCCGAGCCCCAGGCCCTGCTGCCTGGAGGGGCTCCCGCAGGTCACCCCTCTGCCCGCACCAGGCAGGGCTGGGAGCTGCCGGTCCTCCCCCTCCACAGCCTCCTCCTGACCCAGAGGGATGCAAAGGCTGGCTCCACGGAGACAGCCGTGAGTCCGGGCCCCCACGGCGCTGGCGAGGCACCCACAAGCCCCGGTGTGCGCCCAGGCGGCCGGGCAGCTCTGTTCGCACCCACAGGGGCTTCCAGCGAGCGGGCGGCTGAGCAGAGCGGGACCCCGGCTGGGGGCACTGGCTGGGGGGCTCCGGTGAGCCTCGTGCTGCAGCCGGCCCCTGGGGCTGCACTGGCTGGGCTCCAGGTGGGAGGACGCTCGGTGTCCCCGAGCTGCCGCAGCCTGCATGGCCGCCACGGCTGTCGGCCCAAGGTAAATACGTTTGTGCCCAACGGCCGGGGCAGGGCGGCGGGTCGGCCGCTGGCATCCCTACGGCTGGGAGATTTGTCCAGGCCACGCTCCAGCCCCAGACCTGGGGGCTCAGGGGGTGCCCGGGGCGTTTGCTGCTGCGCTGGGATGTGTTTACCTGGTTGTGCTGCAGCAGGACAGCGCACGGCAAACATGGACCGGACCCCGCCAGCGACGGCCGGAACGAGGGGGTTGAGGCAGCTCCCGGCTGCACGGGCGGAGGTTTGTCCGGGTCCTCGAGGGGGGCGAGCCCTGC